CAAAACAGACTAACAACAAACAAGCAAAGAAACAATCCAAACCAAGAAAATCATGTTTGATCATTGATTTCACAATTGTTTGATTGCCTTCAATGCACTAGTCTGGTGACAGGTAAAATCCTGGAACCCACTTTCTTTTCCTACTTTGTTTCCCTCTTAATCTGTTGCCCACAGATGTATCTGCTCTTATATAAACTAAAGTGTAAGCCCAGGGTCCTTTCCTCTTTGCTGGGACAGAATACCTGATATGCACAACTTGTAGGACAAAAGATTTGGTTTGGTTCACAGTTTGTTAAGGTTTTAGTACACAGTTGACTGGCTTCAAGGTAGGTTGGCATGGCACAGGGGTGTTGTGGAAGAGTAGATGTTTGTAGCATGAGAGTGGCAAGCAGAGATAGCAAAGAAGCCAGGGAGAGAGACACGCCTTTCCTTGCCACTCCTCTAGTGACCTACCTTTGTCAACAAGACACAGCCCCCAACATCACGTTTAGCTATAAACTCATCATTGGACAAGTGATGTCATCCCTGCTGGCATGACACAATCTCGTGCCCAGAGCCCCATCTATGAGAGTGTGAGACTTTATGGGGACTTCTAAAGTCCCCATATTTATGTTTTATATAAACCATAGAATGACTCATCTTTGTTCTCCTAGTGGTACTTAATACTTGTTAAATAACAATGGAATAGTTTGGAAATTGAAGCAAAATGGAAGAATACAAACAGATTTTTAAAACTCTGTAAGAAAGTAAGACATATTTTCTGCTCTTTTATACTACTTTCTAATTTTTTCTTCTTATTGTTTTATTTTTTTGAGACAGGGTCTCACTGTATAGTTCAGGCTGCCCCTAAACTCACTACATAGCCCCGGCTGGCCTTAAACTTGTGGCAGTCCTCCTGCCTCAGCCTTCATGTGCTAGGATTACAGGTGTGCACCACCATGCCCAGCTTCTACTTTTGTTCTTTGAAAAACATTTTCTTCTGAAACTTATTTCTTAATTATTCAAGGTAAATCACTTTTTCTTCAAAATTTCCAAAGCAAACTTAAGAAGGATAGCCAAACGTTTTTTGGTTTTTTTTTTCTTGATACAGGTTCTCACTACACAGCTTGGACTCATAGTGATCCTCCTGCCTCAGTCTCCCTGGCACTGGGATTATAGGCATACACCACCGGGCCACCATGTCCAGTTCTAGGTTCCAAGGCCAACATGGCGTGCAATACTGGGACTGGAACACGGGACCTTGCACCTGCCAGGCAGGCGGTTATGCTACCGAGCTATCTCCCAAGCACAATAGCCAAATTTTTATTCTAGCAAGTATCCTTTTTGAAGTTAACACTTGATTTTTTTGTATACTGCATTGGAACAGGTTTTATTTCAGCCCTAACATAGTCCATTCCGATTTGCCTATCACTATCTCTTAACTCTGTTCAGAATAGTTTATAAGGCTGACACACTTCTTCAGTGAGGTCCTGTGCTTGTATAAAGGCCAGCCAGCTAAGTGTTTAGAGCCCATGATGCCCAACGCACACTTAGATGTACCCACTTGGCTAACAGGCACCTCAAGTTTAACAGGCACAACTGGCTTCTTGATTCTTCTACCACACGCCTCTTGACCGCTCCTCCTATGTTCTTCCCCATCTTAGAAATGAGACTTTTACTCATTCATTGCCTTACATCCAAAATCAAAATCCTGGGGTCATTGCTCTTCTGTGACTCTCATAACCTTCATCTAACAAAGAACAGAAGCAGGGAGACACATTAGGGAGCCAGTAATCCAGGTAAGAATAAGGTGCCTTAAGCCAGGGTAGAGCCAGCGTAGGTGATTTCAACTGGATGGGTTCCCTCAAATGACCATTCTTGGATAATCTCTCCGGAATCTGTCTATTTCAAATGACCCACACTGCCTCCACCCTGGCCTCAACCTCCTGGCTTACTGCCTCCCTTATGAGTCTCTCTGGTTCTGTTCATGGTTCCTGTACCTATTTACAATACAGTGGTCAGAAAGATTCTATTAAAATATAAGGCCAATTGTAGCACTTTTCAGCTACTACTCCTCCACATGCCTTGTCTCTTGCAGAATAAAAAGCAAGACTTTACAATGGTTGTCAAGGCTCTAGATTGGATTTTCCTTCCTGGCTTGTTCTCTTTCCTTCTCCCTCCTGTTTACTGTGTGATACTGCGCGCAGTGTTCTTTCTGGACACACTAAGCATTCTTCTGCTTTGGAGCACTTACATTCTGCTTTGCCTTCCTCAGAAGTACATGTCTGCCCTTCATTTTACATAGGACGCTTATCCTATGTTCACTTATCACAGAGAATTTCCTCCATCAGCGTACAGCATACTGTGTCACTCTCTCATCTTCCTTCTATGCTATATTTTTCCACACAGCACTTATCACCACTAACTTTAGTTGTTGTCTGTCTTGGTTCTAGAAAGTTCCTTTCAGAAACAAAAAGATTTCTTGAAGGTCTATAAAATACTAGATCCTTTTCTAGGTAGTAGGGATAGAAGGTAAACAACCCCCCCCCACACACACACACAACACACAAATATCCTTATGGAATGCTTATTCCAGTGTTGCATAAACTGCTATATTTCTTCAGTAAATATTTGAAGAATATATTGAATAGGCATAGCATACAGTTAGCAGACTAACAAGAATGGTAGAAAAGAAAGAGAAACTCAGATTAGCTCATCTCTTCTTACCTCAGTGGGACATTTGCCATATCTAAAAAGAATTGTTGTGTCGTCTCCAAGGTGAAAGGCTGAAAACTTTAATAAATCCCAGGGCACTCAGACATTCTGTACCCCTAACTTGAAGGCACAATGGCTACTTTCAGACTGCACTGAGGAATGACAAATACCTACACTGCATGAAGCACTTGGCTCTGGCACAAGGAGACTAGAGTCCAGTGATTGCCTGGAGTATTAGATTAGGAAAGAAGTAGATAAGAAGTGCTAAAAATTAATAAGACAGGCTTTAGGCTTCACTAGAGAGAAAAATTGTTTTCTATCAAAACAGAATAATACTAGTATTAGACATGGTGGTAGCCAGATTCAGATAAAGTGGTTTGGGAAAGAAGAGGAAATTGTCTTCATAAAGAGGCAGCCTGGTGGCTCATTAAAGAGGTGAATCTTAAAGACATTTAGACTTTCCACATGGAAAGGGAAGGAAAACCATGCCCACCCCTGAAGATGGCCTTGCTCATACCAAGTCCTCCTCAGGAACTGTGAGTTCCGAAGATTTGCTGGTATTAGGAACAGCTAGAGGAAGTGTCAAATTGGGAAAGACTTACACACATAGCAGGGTAAGATGATGAGGTGAACAAAGGCTAATAATTCTCAGTTCCTAGATTCAACCCAGCTGGACTTCCAAGAACCTTGAAGGGAAAATGGCTGCTAAGGAGAAGGACCCCATGGCTAAGTTCTCCCTTCAAAGACTCAATGCTACTGTCATCTCCTCTCATTATAAACCCTCCCCACCGTATTTTTCTCTTTTGCATTACAGGTCACTACCATGAGTTCTATATTTTTAAGATTTCATCAGGTTTTCCTTGGCCTTAGTGATGAAGACTTGGTCCCATTTCTCTCTCTCTCTCTCTCTCTCTCTCTCTCTCTCTCTCTCTCTCTCTCTCCCTCTCCCCCCCCCTTTGATTCTTTCTGCCCTTTCTGTCTCTGGCACACACATGCACATAGACTTTCTCTGTTTCACATGGCACTGGGGATTTAAACCATAGCCTTCTGTCTTTTTTATTTTATTTTTTGCTTTGAGACAGGGCCTCTCTAAGTTGCTAACTTGCCCAGGCTGGGCTCAAATTTGCAGCCCTCCTGCCTCAGCCCCCCAGAGAACTGGGAGTACAGGTGTGCGCCACTGTGCTTGGCTTCCATTTTTCAATAGCTGTCACCTTCTACAACTGCCTCCATAATTGGCTTTTACTCACATTGACAAATGACAGCTAAAAATCTCATTTTCATCTTTATGAAATCATATTGCCATGTAACCCCCTCCAGACACATGCCATTGGCAGATGTACCCAGACACATGCTGTCTTTGAATCCAGATGACTTCACAGCAGCCCAGAGCTATGCATTCTACAAACGCCTGTGCCAAAATAGTATTCTATGAATTGACACAGTAATACTAAAATAGGGTGATTGAAAGACCCTGCCCTGGAGCTGGCTCAACATTTTTCATACTACACAAAATGCATTCCTACTTAATTCAAAGCTATTACACCCATCATAGGAATGGTTACCATTGGTGTCTAGGTGAAGGATCAGTCAACAGGAGCAACTTACATTCCAAAAACTTACAATCAGCCAAATACTTGGCCAGAGTCTGGAGTTATACAAAGATAAATGAGTCCTTGCCCTCAAGGCATTTACAGACTAGATCTAGATTTAGACACAGTACCAGATATCAATTGATATGATTATCACTGACGTTAACACTTCATATAAGTGCCAGCATGCCAAAATTCTCCCTCCATTCTGAAAATAGGACCAAATCTTCTTTTTGCCCTAAGAGATGTGTGATTCTTCCAGGCGAAAGTAGTTCCTTATGTAGGGTGGTACAAACACTGCCATGGCTCTCAGATATATTAAGACAAGAATGAAGTTGTCTGGAGTTGGAGGAGGGAGGATTCTTCTATAGTTTGCTCTGTGTCACAGGATTGATCAGTAGGTTAGGACAGAGAAAATTTCTGTGATGTTGGGAATGTTGTCAATGTATAAGATGATAAAGGGTACTTTTCTTTTGTAGTTATGGGGATTCAATCCAGGGACTTATGCACTCTATGTAAGTGCTCTACCAAGAGGTATAATCCTATCCCTCAGCCTCCAACAAACACACACTAATTTGTTTTTGTTTTTGAGACAGGGTGTTAGTTGTCCAGGCTGGCCTCAAATTTGTGATCCTTTTCTCTCAGCCTTTCAAGCATCAGCTGCCATACCTGGCAATGAAAGACATTTTTATTGAAAGATTACCTGAGTAGACTTACCATCTGCTCCTTCACTGCTTTTGCTTCTTTTGTTGCGGTGAACACGATTGCTTTCTTCTTCAGAGTAGGACTTCTCATTAGGGAAGAAGAAATTCAGCAAGGCCATCTGTAAAAGCAGTAAGTATATGAGTCAAAGGTTGACCCTAGTCAGCCACAGACACAAGAAAGGACCTACTTTTTAAAAGGCAGTCTATTTCACCACAAATTCAACATGGCTAAAGTCTGTCTATTTTTCCCTCCACTGTAAAATTCTTTCTATCATTATTGTTCTCAACATTTTGGCATGAAATTTTGATTAATCTTGGAATCCAATCTCTTGTGTTCTGAATATCTCATGGATTATCTTGTTAGGTCACATTTGTCCATAAATTACTAGGGCTCAGAAGCTTAGCCAGAAACTTCCAACTTCCTTCAGATAGTAATGATGTCCATCTAGAGCAAGCCGTGAGTATGCTACTTCCCTACACTTCATTATCAGATACCTATGGTGCTGCCACCTTCTTCCCTGCGCTATGCTTTATGGCTACTTCTACAGTGCTGAGCTCCCAGTACTGAGGTACCACATATGTCAGGCTATTCTTGGTGTCAAAACAAAGTGTACAGCAAAAGCACAGTTATTATTCAGTTATTATCTCCCCTCCTCAGACTCCTACAAATTATGAAGCTTACAGACCCATTTTGATTAGATTAAAAAGTTGATTACTTTTCTAATATCACTTAATAGTTTTTAAGGAAAATTATCATTTTATAGTGTTCCATTTTTTGAACACCATATAACAATAGAAGCTAATAAAATTTTTTCTCTTCAAATTCTCGTTTGAATTTTTCTAGGTAACATATATGAATTTCATGCAAAATATTTAAAAATTGAAACCTTTCTCATAAATTAGTTATCCTTGCTTATCTTCAACTATTGTCATATAATAATATATCGGAGTAAAATATAGGTTTGGGCTAAAAAGATAAAAGATTCATTTTAATATTTGGTCCTACACTGTCTCATAATCATTTCTCAGAATAATACAATGTGCTTCATATATGAATGGGTCCGGTTTTACTAATGATAATTATAGTGAATCATGGCTAAATTGAATCATAGTCCTTCAGCAGGAGCACTTTATTGGTGCAAAAACATGTACTTGAGGTAAACAGTAGACAGAGTAGTAGGCGTAAGGGTGATTCTAATCCCAATTTTACTCCTTGCTACCCATGTAACCCTGGACAAATTACTCAAGTTTCAATTTACTCATCTGAAATCAGGGCATTCATAATAGCACTCTGCTCACAAAGGACTTGTCGGGTTAGCATAGTAGCCAGCATACAACACATGCTCAGCAAATGTCAGCTGTTAGAATTAATAATTATTTTACACTACTTAATTTGGCTACTTTCTTTTGTGTGTGGTACTGGGGATTGAACTCAGGACCTCCTGCTTGTCAGGCAGGTGCTTATGCTGCTGAGCTATCTCCCCAGCTCTAGACTACTTAATTTGGAACTTAACAAAAGAAGAAATGAATCACCTTTTGTTTTGTAAGGATAGCTCAAAAAATAACAATCCCAGTGGTTTTATGGCTGCTGCATTTCTTATTGGTTGGGAAAAAATGAGATGGACCCAAGAAAGCCCTAACATTCCAAACAAATTTTCATTACAACCCTGTGATTTATTTACTGTTTATAGGGGACAATTACACATAATGGCCTTAAATTGCAAGATTAGCAACTTTCAGAATATAGTCCTGTATTAAACAGCAAATCAATAAATCAATCAATAAATGTGTACTTCATCTCTTACAATCAGATTGCATTTAAAACTTACTTATGTTGAGCCATATGGAATTTCTACTTTTATAGGTCAAAACTGGTTCAAAATGAACAATTTCACAAGACTCAAATGAGCAGAGTCTTTGAATCACTTGATGGTATATATAATACATTTTACCATAGAAACAACATAAGCAAGTTGGACTAGGTGCATAGAAAGTTATGTAACCCACGGATCAATAAACTAGTATACTAGTGGCATGAAACAACACTACTATTTATAATGAAATCGTGAGTCATTTGCACCTCTGTAAGTCATAGTAGACTGAAGAATTTTCTTGGTATTTTTGAATGCTGAAACTTACTGCAGCTATTTTGGATAGAAATTAATCTTAATTCAGGGCTTAATGAATATATAAAAGACTATTTGCCTATACATGAAATATCCCCATCCAATATAATTTTGAGAGTTTTATTATGACAATTACATTCCAGAGTAATATATGGCTTGCTAGAGAGGAGTTTAAGATTATAGAAGAACAAGAGGAGAAGCACTTAATAGAGACTGAAAGTAGATGAGGTTTGTAGGGAGAATGCTCTGTATAAATACTGAAAGATTTCAAATATTTACAGGTTAGTGGTAACTAGAAATGGAATTCCAGAAAAAACAAACATCACATTTAAAGATTTATAGGAAAGAGAATTCAAGAAACAATAGCAGTTTTTGGAACTACAAGTAGCTCAGAGTGGCCAGGAATGGAGAAAAATGAACCAATGATTGTTAAATATGTACTAGAATTTGATCATGTTAATGAATGTTTAGGAGCTTTGACTTGATCTCACAGCAAGGGTGTCTCTAAATGTTTTTCTAAAGTTTTCTACCTTATGAAAATTTGAGATATAATTTACATATAATAAAGTGCATAAATTTTAAGCATACAATGAGACTTCACAAATGCATATATTTTTGTAACTACTACCAAAATCTAGATACAGAACATTTTCATAACCAGAATTTTCTCCTTGTGCCTCTTCTAATCATTGTCCAGTGCCCCTACCCTAAGGCAATTGCTATTTTAATTTCTATCAAATAGGTTTTCCCCTTCTAGACTAAAATCATACAATATTTGTCATATGTTTAAAAGGAATGATTTTAACATAATATCTACAAGACTCATTTTTATTGTTGCTTATATCATCAGTCCATTCCTTTCTTTCTTTCTTTTTTTAGGGAAGGGTCTACAGGGCATTCAGGGTCTCACTACTAGATCAGACTCATAGTGATTCTCCTGTTTACAGCCTCCCAAATGGTGGGATTACAGGCACGCATCACTACACCCAGTCTTAATTGCTATCTCAGTACGCCCAGGAGACGGGGCCACCATGGCAGGCCCAGGGATTGAACCCTTGGCCCCTGTGCCTGCTTGCAGGCACTTCAATCTGCTGAGCTATTTGGCCGGCCCTAGTCAATTCCTTTTAACTAGGAGTAATATTTTATTGTATGGCTCTATCACTTCTTTTTAAGTGCATCCACCTGTTGATAGTCACTTGGGTTACTTCCAGCTTCCAGTTACTATGAATAAAGCTGATGTGAACATGCAAGTATAAGTGTTTGAACATGTTTTCACAGAAACATCTATGATTTGAACCTCTGGGTTATATGATATAGAGATAGGAGATAGGCCATGGCTTAGACTGCCTGGGAATAGAGGTATGCAGGATCCCAAAATCTATGCAGAACTGCCTCTCTAGGCCCTACCTGTAGAGGTTCTTGGGGGTTCCTTTAAGATTGTAGATGGCATAAAAGGACACAAAATCCACGAAGAGCTTGCTACCATTGCTTTCCCTATGGTATCATGCCCTGTGTTTGCTAGGGTGCATTTTTATTTTGCTATTTTTCCCTTTTCTTCCTTGGCCCAAGTATGCACTGCAGAGGGTTTCTCCCTTACCTTTCATCCTTCAACTTTCAAATAAACTTGGTAACCACTTTTAGCTTGTTTCATTCAATTCTTTGAGATGAGAAGAACCTAGAAACTAACTCCAGAAGAGCACACAAGCACATGAAAACCTGATAACATTTATTTGGAAGCTTATTTCTAGAAGGAGTTACCTGGTAACAATGTTTGTTATAAAAAGTATAAAGTTTTCCAGAGTGATTATACCATTTCACATGCCCACTATCAATGCATGAGAGTGCCATTGTGCTGCATTTTCATCAATACTTGCTATTACCAACATTTTTAATTTTACTTATTTTGGTGGTTGTGAATCAGTGTTTCATTTAACCAGAGTTATATCATTTCTGGCCCCTTCAAATTAGCTGATTGTAATCTTCTAAAGCTAGTTGGACTCATGAATAAACAGAATAAACAGGCAGTGCCTATTATTTTGAAAGGCTTTTCCAATAAGCAAGGGAATAATCTATGGTGGTTTAAAGATCATTAATTTACTATTTATTTTTGTCTACCATATGGACACTGAATTTGTCATATAACTCAGTTCTACATAAGTAGATTACTTCAGTACAATGTGATTCTTGGAGAAAAGGACATTAGGTCTCTATTGTCTTGTAACTGAAAAATACAAATAGAGAAGCTAAGCACCAGTAGCTGATCACCACTACCAACTTCAATTCCAAAGTTCCTACTACGGTTTGTATCTAGATTGCCCCCCAAGGCCTCATGTGGTCACGGTTTTTTCAGAGGTGGTTGACTTTACAGTGTGTAATTGATTTGTGGTGCAATGTCGGGGTTAAGGGTGCTGGGATGGAGGGTGTGATCGCAGGGTCAGTCCACTCATTGAACTGGCACCATCATAATTCCTGTACACTGGACATAAGAGGCAGAAACAGGCTTGTCTCAGTCTCTGTTGTTGCTTTTGCTGTCTTCCACCACTATGACTAGTTGCCCCCCTGCCATGTGCCCCCCTGCCTTGGAGCTAGCCGAGTATAGACTGAAGCCTGGATAAATGAGCTAAATAAAACTTTCCTCCTTTAACTCTGAGTGTTGAGCACTTGGTCTCAGCAATGAAAAAAGTAACTAAGATAATACCTCTCACATTCCTTGTGCTCTCTCCTGAGGACACTCCAATGAGAGGTCTGGCAATGGTACTTTTACCTTCTGAAGGCCTAGAGATGGCAGCAGGAGAAGGTGCTGACACATTAACTATTTAAAGTGATGAGAGCTCTGGAGAAGAGCTAAGGGAGTAGCAAACTTCTACAGGGGCAGAAACAACTCCAGCATCCATTTGTAGTAGGCAATAGCTCCAAGTCCCTCAAGAAAGGAGAAGTGGTTATGTACAGTATATTGGTAAGTCAAGTGTTCATAAGAAAATGACTGTATAGGA